TCATTGAACACAAATATTAGTATTTCAAAACATTAAAACGTATCACAACAATTATATCTTCAGTGTAAGTGCCATTTGTGTGTGAAAAATGCAAATAATTTCACTTTCACTACCAATATCATCGTTGTAATACATTTTACTGTTTTGAAACACTAATATTTGTGTTCTTTTTTTTTTTTTAATTCTTATTTTTTTGTAGTGTGGAGATATAGTACAGGTTGGCAAGAGGTACCCCAAAGGCAATCCTCTGGCTTATCCCACGCGGAACATGCGGGGCACATGAGTAACATGCACAGTTTTTATTTTACAGTCAGGCTTATACATATGGAATGCAAAGAAAACATATTGCGAGAGTGTGCTTCAGCTAAGTCAATGTGATAATTAGGCTATAGGCATGTTAAATAATGTATTTGCGTTTCAATAGAATATTTGTGTTCAGTAAAGTCTCCCGAGTAAAACAGTACCCCCCATGTACAGGTTTTATGGTGTCTTGGAAAGTAACAGGGTTAAATATAGTGCTAACAAATTAAATTCCCTGGACATTCGGCCTGGGTTGTCAGGCAGGTCCCGCAAATTGTAATTAATAACAAGACCTAATTATGTAAAACTATTACATAAATATATACGTAGAATTATTATATATATGTATATATATGTATGTATATATATATATAGTGATATTTATATATATACTTTTGTGTATATATATATATATATATATATATATATATATATTATTTCGTTCTACATCTATTGTGATATCAATATATATATTAATATCAAAATACAGTTAGAATGAAATTACACATATATATATATATTAATATTAAAATACACAGACAGTGCACGTGTATGTATATATATATGATCTAATTATATATAATTGTATTTTAAACTATTTTAAACTTTTATTTTATTTTTTCAGGCAGCAGGGGGACTACCTGTCATTCCAGGCACTACCCCTGTTGGCACTGCTGTGGACGGCTATGCCGTCCATGTTATCATGAGGTCCTTGAAAGGAACGGCAGCTGGGGGACTCCCTGGGATATCAGGTGAGTCCCCCCACCGTGATGGATCGCTGGTGACTGGGTAAGTGAATAGGACGGCGGGGACGTGCTATACCGCCCGCCGGCATTTAGAGCTGGGTCCCCAAGGACGGCATAGCACGCCCGCAGTCCTTAAGGGGTTAAAGTGAATGATTAATGTGTGAGAAAATTATCTTTTCATATAATGCAATCGTAATCTTATATGGTAACAAAGTCTTAAAGAGACACTATAGGCACCCAGACCACTTCAGCTAATTGAAATAGTCTGGGTGCTGTGACCCTTTTGCACTTAGTGCTGCAATGTAAAACATTGCAGTTCCAGAGAACGGCAATGTTTACATAACAGCTCTAAGTCTGTCCTCTGTGGCTGTCTACCAAACAGCCACTAGAGGGCTTCCGGAATCCAAACAGACTTTTGGTCTGTTATCTGACGCTGGACGTCATATCGTACCTCCAGCATCATATTTTCCCCATAGGAAAGCATTGAATAATGCTTTCCTTTGGGGAGGCCTAATGCCCATGTGCATTAGGTCTCCCCCACCGGCTGACGTCGGCGAGGGAGAAGCATGGGCAGTGGATTCAGGTAAGTGGCTAAAGGGGTTTTAACCCCTTCAGCCCTATGGGGGGGGGGGGGCGAGGGAGGAGGGGACCTATTACCCCTAAAGTGCCAGGAAAACAGCTTTGTTTTCTTGGCACTATAGGATCCCTTTAAAGTAAAATAATTTTACAGTATTTGCATAGCTGTCGTAATAAAGTTGCTGATCAATTCTGTGCTGGAGTTGTATCTTTAAATAGCACTGATTAGTTAGTACTATTTCTCTGCATGATATACATTGTTGACCTTGAGGAAAAGTGATTAATCCGCCATCACCAAACAGATAACTGCTTCAGCTCAATTGATTTCACATCAGCCTAGCATTAAAGCAATCTATTTCAATTTGCATTCTCACAAATTATTTTCCTTTGACACTTGTCTTCACACGTTATTGTTTTCTACCATATTATCTTTGTGTCCTGAATTTAATATCATGATTTTATTAAAGGGGAGAGAGAAAACCCCCCAATGATAAAAACTATATGTTGTCAATCAGACATGTCTGCTCAGGGGTGTTTTGAGGTTCTAGAAACATCTGGGGCTTGAGCCAGAGGAAAAGTCAAAGACCACTACACTAAAAGAGGGGTCGTGGTATGCCATGACATTTCTCTGCCTTTTTATGTCATGTCTCGTCCTTTCTAACCATAAACATCGTGCTGGCGAAACTCTTCAGGATCTCAATGAAAACACAGCCAGAAACAAGCATGTGTTGCACAACCAATCATTCGATATGTGAATTCTTGTGTAAAATTACAAATAATTAATAAAAAAAACACTAATATATTCCTGACTTCACCACCAACTGCAGAAATCAGGGGCTTTACATCTGGGGATTCAACCCCCAAAGACCACTCCCCAGCAACGCCTATGTGTCTGCTATATTCCCCAAACATGGCCAATAAGTATACTCTATTCACTGTTTTGGTTATGCTGCATAGAGTACTTTGTGTATATGAGTAAGAGATTTGCCCATTTTGTTAGGGAGCAGTAGAACATATATGTTCATAAGGAGTGGAGTAAGCTTCCCTAGCCAAACAGATAGCAAGTGTAGAGGCAAAGCTAGCAAGTAATTGTATTGCAAAAAAAAAAAAATAGTTGTGAATCAGAAATATCTTAAAAAAAGGAGTAAAGAGCCTTGAGAGAATATATGCTAGGTCAGATAAGCCCCTGTCCTCAAAGTGACAACTAAACATCATTCCATACCAGGAGGGAAACGTTAATTGAAGAGAAAGAGGGTAAAAGGCGAAAGAAGAGAGGTGAGGTCGGTCTTCACTTCCAATCCATCTCAAATCTGCAAAGATGTAGGAAGTAGAAAGCAGGGGGACGTAGAGGATGGCAAAGGACAATGAGAGTGTTGGATCCACATGTTGAAAGAACTGGAATCTCTGCCAAAAATAGAGTGTTCCAAGTCCACCTATCTCTTCACATAGAGTGAACTATGCCAATGATGTGCTTTGAAAAGCTGGGTAGTATTGAAGAAAGTCTAGTAGTCGAAAGCCTCCTAGTTTCCTGTATGCATATATAGTGGAGTGGCAGTCATGGGGTTTTTGAAGCGTATATAGTTGGGACAGTAAAGAACCCCAAGATCATTAGCTAGTTCTATATGAAAACTATATGGGAGGGTCTGCTTCCAAAAGAAAGAGCAGTCATGAGCAATTCTGACTTGTGGAGGTTCAGCTTATATCACAACGATGCAGAATTAGAGGAGATCCAGTGTAAAGGGGAGTGAGCAGAAAAAAACAGGGTTAGAAAGGATAAGGAGAACATTATCCACATACACAGCAACCGTTGTCACAAATCTGGAGCCCCTCAATATCAGGGCTGACACATACAGCCTGCAGTAGAGGTTTAAGTGAAAGAGCAAAGAGAATGTTTCATATTTTTAATGAATTATCCATGTAACACATAGAAAATTGGGGTAACTGCCTGCATACTATGTCCCTTTAAAATGTGTTAATATTCAGGATGTATAAGAAGCATTCATAAATCCAATTATTACCAAGGTATGTTTCTGGATGCTTGCAAGTCATCCACTATTGCGAGAATCAATACTAGTTATTTATATATATTTGTATCGTTGTTTGCACTGTTGTTTCACACTTTCTTGGCACTTTTAACCCAAGCTTTTATTTCCAGATTCTCTTTCCTGCTCATGCAGAAGGCAATTGCAGCATTGCTTTATGGAATAACATGTTACCATGACAAAGCAGTAGTTCTGCAAAGTATTACTTCACCTTCAGCTAAGAATGAATGAGAGACTGCTGAAAGTCAAGATTTTGCACTTACATGCCCTACTAAATAAATGTATATCCTGTAATATAAAAACACAATAATAATTAGCTCTCCATGAAATCATTACAATAAATGATTTTACACGTTGTCAAAGAATTTAAATAAATGCGTCAGATCATTTTGCCACAAAACGAAATTTCACTTTTTCACGATAATGAATATTCTACACTCAATATATTTTTATTACACCAAATTAGTTCTACGAAGTTGCTCAGATACATGGACGAACTAGGCTAAAGATTAACATATGATTCATTTGAACCATGCCACATGTAACATTTTTAAATAAAAAAGTATTGCAGGACAATTATGAGTTTTGTCAGTAAACAGTCAATTGAGTCGTAATGACATAGGAATTGCACGTTGTAGGCCAAATTAGCCAAGCTGTAAAAATTAACAGGATATTTGTTTAACTCTGCTATTTTAAACTTAAACTAATTAGAAAAAAAAGACTCTAATTATGGTGCCAGGAGTACACGGCACAGCCCATACTATGTAGTCAAACCATTTGTTAATACTTTGACAGTGCACCTGGGGTTCACCAGTTACTTTTTCCACTGAGTTAGAATTGCAGTAAGGGGACTGTACATGCCAATATGAATTGGACAAATGTTTTTTTCTTTGGTTTTTATTGTATGTATTGGGGCTGATGTGTACTGTAGTCATTGCTGCTGCCCAGGAGTAGTGGGAGTATGAACACAGGGCTTAATTTTGTATGTTTGTATTTTGTGAAAGTTTACAGATATAGTTTTATAAGGCCTAAAGCAGGGGTTGTTAACGTCCAACCCCCAATATCATTTGGTCTAGCCCGTAGAGAGTCAGCCCTGCTGTCTGCCATTTTCGGGCCGTTGGGGAGATCAAAGGCAACTGCCTCCTGCCAGTTTGTTAATGGAGTCGAAGGGAGCTAGGACCCAGGAGCCTGCAAACTGGGAAGCTGTGATCCTCCAACGAGCAGGCAGGTTGAAGTGGTACTGCGCGTTACCATGGCAATGCTCAAACACAGTGCTGTGCTCGCAGGAAGAAAAGAGTGAAGTAAGCCTGCAGTCGGAGGAACTGCAGGCTAAAGTGCATGCGCCACCACTGGACCTCAAGGGCTTGCATTGATATGTCCCCTCCTTCCAGGCCAGAGGTAAAAAGGGGGCATAAAGCTTTTTTCATTTTTTTGGAACCCTGACACACACTACACCACCTCAGACATTGCACCCCTCTCACACACACACACTCAGATCCCCTCACACACACACACACACAGCACCCCTCACACACACTACATGCACCCACACACTGTGCCTGTCACACCCACACACTGCACCCCTCACATAAACACACTATACCCCCTAACACACAGCACTCCTCACACCCACTACACACACAGCACCCCTTAAACATACACTACAAACCCTCACAAACACTGCACCCCTCACACCCACACAGCACCACACACACACACTACACCCCCTTACACACACACTGCACCCCTCACACACACTACATCCCCTTACATACACAGCACTCCTTACCCACACACAGCACCCCTCACACACACACACACACACACTGCGAGTAGTAACATCATCAATACCAGATAACATCACACCAAAGAGAAGCAGTTCCAGCCATCACATTAGGAGTGAGTTAATTAAAGTGTTTGACCAAATACAGCAGGCTTATTTTTAAGTTGATAATCTTGTATGCCCACGAATGATGTTTTAAATATCCAAATGGCACTTAGCAAATAAAAGGTTCCCCACCCCTGGCCTAAAAGTATCCATATTAAACATCTATATCAGCACTACTTTGCCAAGTTCTTTATCATGGTTACTCCTCTCCAGTATTTATCAACTTGCTTTATAAAGCAAGAATAGTTTATAGAAGAGCTAAACATATTAGATGAATACTAACCAAAAGTTGTATCCATAAAGATAAAAAGGGGGAGTCGTGGCTTAGCCAGCGTTGAAGATGGCTGCATTCTAAGGGAGGTCCTGTGACACTAAGTAATTAAATGTGTTATTTTACATTGATATCTAATTTTAACAAGAAAAAAATATATACTAACTAAACTACTGATACAGTGAGGAGATAGAAGACAGAAAAGATTAAAAAAAATAAATAAAAGGACATGATGCAGAAAGCTAAATGTATGAATCCAGGAGCGAGTCATAGTAAGTCACTAATGACCTTTGTCTATGACTCCTGTAAAAAAAAAGTTGACGAAGCATATTAAAATCACCAGTGACTAACCTTACATTAACTGAAGAAAAAATATGATGTCTCTATTAATAAACCATTCTCCCACAGAGATGTGACAGTTGGTGATGAGCTTGCAGGATCTGAACGCACTAACATAACAGAAATTAACATAAAAGCTAGTCCACTAGTTAAATCCTATGATGAACATATGGGAAATGATCAATCTAGCGAATGAAGCTTAATCAGGAAACGAAAATAGAAACAATGCAAACGAACATGAAGCTACTACTTCACATTATAATTCTAATAGTAATATAATTAAAGGAACATACTACAAGAAAGTTTAGAGCACATTACTTTCTGAAGATATGGATACGCTTGAACAGAATTCTTCATCTATTGATTGGGACATAACTAATCTGGATAAAAATATTCAACACTCACCTGATGCCTATCTAAGAAAGAAAATTAATATTATTGCAGAACACAGAACAACATTGGATCTACCAGGATTTAAATCTTCATTACCATCCAACAAACAGCATCACCTGCTTTAATCTGGGAAATGTTACAATCTATTAGACAAGATCTCAGAGAAGATCTACGACAAGACCTGACTTTCATAAAAAATAAAGTTACCATATTAGAGCAAATTGCATCAACACTTCTTCAACACGCAGATATTCACGATGATTTAGTTGAAAAGATGAGAGCATTAGAAATGCAGATTTAGAAGGCCGCAATAGAAGGAACAATATCAGAATAAGAGGTATACCTGATAACATACAACCTAATGAATTAGAAGACTATTTGAAGGCAATTATGAAATCAATTAAACCTTCCTTTACAGACGCAGAATTACAAATAGATCATATTCATAGGCTACCAAAATCTATCTCGGCTCCTAAAGATACTCCAAAGGATGTTATCGCTAGAATTCACTTCTTTAAAACAAAAGAGGAATTTCTATGGGCACTAAGATCCACAAGATTTCCAAACAAATTTAAAAACATTAAAAATTTCCAAGACTTCTCTCATATTACAATACAAAGAAGAAAGGAGTTTGGTCAGTTTTCAGCAAAATTACGAAAGACGAACATCAACTATAGATGGGGTTTTCCTGTCAAAATACTTTTTTGTTTGGATTTACAACAGTATACAATAATGTAACGGACCCCTTATACTCCGGCTGAGTATGTCCGTTATGAAGTTCCCAAGTCCCAAGCGAAAAGTGATTATAGCTCCCAAGTCCCCAATCCTCTTACAGTCACCATGACTAGGCAATAATTATACAAAATATGAAAATGTATAAAAACACATATTAAATACATTGTAACCCCCACAAATATTACATCCCCAGATAGTTGGAATCTGATAGTTGGAACCCAAGTTGTCCAAATAGCGCTCAGATCCCATGAACACAGCCGGGGTAAAGTTTGGACCGACTGCTCAGGAGGCGTCTGCCCAAAACAGTTCCAGAGTTTTAGTGCTAGCAGTCTGTCCATTTCGGGAGTTCCATGCAACAAATCTACCGAACAGCTCTCTCCTGGCTTGTCGAGGAAAGAAGCAGGCGTTCGCGTGGTTTCCCTGATGTTCATGTGGTTGAGTGTCCAACTTGGAGTTCCAGACACTCGACGACCAAGTCCTGCTTGCTGCCTGTGTTCGTGCGACAAGATTGCCGCCACACAGAGAGAGCACTTAATTCTGCGGTTTCTTTGTATATAATGAGCCGGGGGGTGGTCGGTGTTTGATAGTTTATTATACTGAATACAGGAGAAGCATAATTGAACTCTAGGAACTTGTCAATGAACTGAGGAAGAGAACAGCTCCGGGGTAGGCAAAATAGTGGGTTTTGTCACAAATCACATCGCCAGAGGAAGGTATGGAAATACTTCAAAGTTTACCAAATCCAAAACCTGTTTCTCCTGAAACCTCTGCTGCACTTACTCAAAAGCCTCCTAGAAAAGTTAGAAGAAAGGACAATAATTAAAATGATAAAAATTTATTTATTGATTCTCATTAATATTTTTAACTATTCAATATGGTTTATGATTAAAGTTGCCATAATTCCTTTTATTTTTTTTTTATTTATTCTTATTATTGTTTTTCCTTATGTTCTTGATTAATTAAGGTTTCTCACAATCATAATTGCTCATCTATGTCGTGGACTTAAAGGACCAATATAGTACCAGGAAAAAATCTTGTTTTCCTGGCACTATAGGGTCTTTACGTCCCACCCTCAGGGTCCCACTCCCGCCGGCCTGAAGGGGATAAACACTTACCTTTCTCCAGCGCCGCACTCCCTTGGGGCTTGGGAATTCTCCTTCCGACGTCAGCTTTGAATGTGCATGCGTGGCAAGAGCCGTGCGAGCATTCAAACAGTCCATAGGAAAGCATTTCTCAATGCTTTCCTATGGACATCAGCATTTCTCAATGTTTCCTATGCTTTCCTGTGAGACAGCCACTAGAGGCTGGATTAACCCTAGTTTTTCTCTGAAACTGCTATGTTTACAGCTGCAGGGTTAACACTTGGTGGACCTGGCACCGAGACCACTTCATTGAGCTGAAGTTGTCTGGGTGCCTATAGTGGTCCTTTAATTTCAACTGATAAGGTATCCTTTTTCTTTTATATTTTTTATTTTGCTGAGTAAATTAAGTGTTCTTGCATAGCAAGACCACTTATTGTTATCTCACATATATATTCTTATTCTTATTATAGCCAAATTTGCCACCCTAACTCCTCCCACAGTTTTTACACTACATAGACAAAAATTTACCAAAACGTGCAGATTGTTCCCGATCGGATTGCTATTACTTTGTGGAACGTTTCGCCGAATGGTTCACGGAATATCGTCGTTCTTGTGGCGAAATTTGTCCCATAGGAATGAATGGCAAAGCTAGAGTGGGAGCTGGCAAAAGATGAAAAATCAGGACATGATTTCTAAACTGTCACCACTCCCTCTTTTTCAGGCCCACCTACACAAATCTTATATCAAAACGTTCAGCTATCCCTGCTCCCACTAAACGTGTCAATGGCTAAGCCATAGTCCTGATAGTTCACAATATAATCATTTGTTTGCAACTAACGCCGTCCATTGACATTCATTGAAACTTCACTCTACAAACCTCAAATTTGAAGTGCAATTTCTAAACTGCGACTGTGCCTTCATTTTTAATACTTCAGAGACATACTATGCATCAAAATGTAGGTCTGGGTCTTGTGATTCTCACAATATAAAGCTCTTCGCTGTAGGATTTATAGTTTTTAAAATACGACCGTTTGAAGATGGCAACCGCCAAAATACTCTGACCTGTGTCAGGCTGCAGCAGCAAGTGATGTCATAGACAGGGCCTTTTGAACACCTGCTAATGTTTTTATAAATGTATGGTTTAATGTAACTGTGCAACAACATTGCAATTAAATGTGCTATATAAATGATAACAGTTACTCCGCCCACTCCAGTTGTAGACTACTGGTGGAGGCAAGAACACTTCACACAATTTCCCCAGAAATTGTAGCTTTTCTAGTTTTGATTACTATTTTATATTTTTTTAATTTTTATTAGTACTAGACTATACTCATTATTTGCTTATTTCTCCAGTTTCCCTTCTTCTTCCTTTTAATTTTTATTATACCATATATTTTGACACACTTAAAGTTTTTTTTTAGTTATTTATTCATATATTTTATTTATTTACTAATTATTTACTTATTTCTATTTGGTTTGCTTCTCTTCTCTTTCTGTCTTTTATTTTATTACGAATATCAATTATCTTTCTCTTTCTCTTTATTACTCGTAATTGCTGGTGTCCCTGACTTTATGGGCCTGTATATATTATTAGAGAGGGAATCTTCTGTTTATTCCCACGTTTTAGCCTTTTTTTTTCTTTTTTTTTAAATATGTCTATCTTTTTATATTTTTTTGTTCTTGTATTATTTTTCTTTTCTTTGTTTCTTTTTCCCTTTTCCTCTTTTTGTCCATATACTTAAGTTTAACATGTTATATTACCAGTAAGTATTTATTAATTTCAATTGTCATTATTGCTGATATTAATGTACATATACATGGTACTGTTTGGTTTTCAGTCAGGTGGGACATGGTGTCTGTATGCATTTTGTTTGGCTTACACGGCTTCCTTATTTTGTGTGGCGTGCTTCTGATCCCTCAGACATTTTTTTAGATTTTTATTTTTGCTCTTTATAGACAATAAGAATGATTTTAAAGTTGTTTTTTTCTTTAAATGTGAGGGGTATGAATGTATAATTATCTCATCCAGTTTTATTCGACATTTCGCATCAAAGCTAGGGGTGCCTCAATTTTTATTAATTAAAATGTAGCATGTCACACTACTGACGTTTTGATTGATCGGGAGGGAAAATATGTGATTTGGAAAGACCAATAAATAGTGTAGAGTACACTATAGCAAACGTTTATTTTCCTAATTCTGATCAACTTAGTTTTTGAAAAAAATTGTTAACAATGTTTCCAAAAATGTCGAGGGCAGAATGATTATTAGTGGTGTTACTAATTTTGTTTTAGATCACAATATTGCTATAGTTAGAGAATCTCATTGCGTCGTTAAAAATTGTTGTAGTGATAAATTGGCAAATCTTTGTTTTAAATTTCTCTTTTCACAAGGCCTTTTTGACTGTTGGCGCATTTTACATGAAGGAGAGAGAGACTACAGCTTTTGCTCACCTATTCACAATATGTATTCTCGGATTGACAGATTCTTGGCAAGCGAACGTGTTATTCCTTTTATTATATGTTCGGATATTCTGGATGTTAACTGGTCTGATCGTGCCCCCATAATGTTATATCTAGAAGAGTCCACTCAGTCGAACCCAGACAGGCAATGGAGATTAAGTGATTATTTAGTCACTGATCTTGAAAATAAATCCCTTGCCGAAACAGAGCTTTCTTATTATTTAAGGGAAAATTCGGATCCAAATCTTGAAATTACTTCTTTATGGTAACTTTATTTAGAAAGAGGTCACTTTATTTAGAAAGCTTCCTTTTTAAAGAAAATTAGATTGAAAAACCTAAAAGACCTAGAAACTAAATTGTACAATTTCAATTTGGTAAAGAAACTTGATCCTTCTTCATCCCTTGCTGAAGAGATACTTGATGTCAAAAACAAAATCAATACACTTCAGATGAATTACACGGCCCTGATGCTAAAGAGACTAAAGCAAACTTTTTATACAAAAGGCAATAAAGCTTCCTCATTATTATTGACCCTATCAACTCTGTCTTCCACAGAGTTGAAAAAAAATCAGTTCTCAGTTGCCCAACCTAGCACTTACGGAGACCTGGCTTTCCCCCTCTGATACAGCTACTCCAGTTTCTCCAATTCTCCCACACTTCCAGACTCAACTGAAAAGACGGCGATGTAGCCATCCTTCTCTCCCCTTAATGTTCCCTTCAACCTATCCTCCCTGCCCCTGCTCTATCCTTTACTTCCTTTGAAGTTCACACTGACAGCATATTTAAGCCCACTCCTTTAAGAATTGCCATTATCTATCGCCCCTCCGGTCATTCGAGGCTATTCATTGAACACTTTTCTTTCTGGCTACCCCACTTTCTCTCCTCTAGCACTCCTTCCCTCATACTTATACTCCGTTTGCCTCCAAGATCTTTGAGAGAGTTGTGTATGCGAGATTGACAGACTTCCTTGAATCCAACTCTCTGCTTGACCTGCTTCAGTCTGGATTCCGCACTCGTCACTTTTTTGAAACAGCTGTGACCAAAGTATCCAACGATATAATCGCTGCTAAATCTCGAAGCCATTACACTAACCCAATTCTACTCAATCTCTACTGCCTTTGAGACTGTTGATCATCAACAGCTTCTTCTCATTCTCTGTAATCTCGGTCTACGAGATACTGCTCTCTCCTGGTGCTCCTCCTACCTCTCCCAGGGCTTTTTCAGTGTTTCTTTCTCTGGCTCTGCCTCTTCTCCCCAACCCCTCTCTGTTGGCATTCCCCAAGGATCTGCCCTAGTGTTCTCCATCTATACTGCCTCCCTTGGTAAACCCATCAGCTCCTTTGACTTCCATTATCATTTATATGCAGATGACATGCAAATCTACCTGTCCTCTCCTGATCGCTCTCTGCCCATCTTGACTCATGTCTCTGACTGCCTCTCTGCGATTTCCTACTGGATGGCTGCTCACTTCCTTAAACTCAACCTGTCCAAAACAGAACTTCTGGTCTTTTCTCCCTCCAAGTCAACCCCTCTGTTCCTGTGCGTCCATTTTTTTGGTTACAGTTACATGTCTGTTAGTCCACCCATTGTACATTGCTACGGAATTTACTGGCACAATATAAATAATAATTATTATTATTATTAGCTTCAAAGTTACGCAATAGGATCTCCCAGTCCAGAATTGAATACTTGATAAATGATGAGGGTATAAAAATTACTCATCCTAGAAAAATTAGTAACATGTTTGCAAATTATTATAAAAAAACTCTATAATTTGGTTTCTGATCCCAATATTATACAACCCACATTTGAAAACATTTGCACTTTTCTGGATAAGGTTCAACAGACAAATTTCTAAAGACAAATTATAATCATTAAATTCTTCTATATCCCCAAGGGAAATTATAGATGTTATTAGTATGATTCCTATAGGGAAGGCCCCAGATCCTGACGGATTTACCAAGTCTGATTGTAGATCTGGCTGGGGAAGGAGGGAGAGGAGGAC